ACATTCTTTGGCTAAAAACACAATAAAATCTCACATACAAACATGCTACTTCCATATAAAATCTCACACACAAACATGCTACTTCCATATGGAAGAGGCAGAAGCTCTAATCCCATGATCAACAACATAGGTTCACTGGTAGTAAATCAAAAGGAAAGCTTTTATCCCATTCGTTGTGTTGCTCTTTAGCACCCATTTCCATCTCTTATATAAAATAAGCTACAATATCGTGTCACCTCTCGGAGAGAAGCACATTGCAACCGAAAGTTGCTATGATAGTGAATTGTGTCTAATTCTATCAAGTTTGTGATAATGCTTATTACAATGAGAAAGCATTCTCGCTGATGGCAGTTTCATGGAGGGTAGAAAGTGTGTTTATCTATCTTGTCTTTCAGCTTGAAGAACTAAGACCCAATGTTTTAAATGTCGGATGTCCGGTTCATGTCGGACAGGTAAAATCCATGTTGAATAGCGAAAATCGAGGATATGCCGAGGGATTGAATTGCCATACCGGATGTTGTGCATGTGTAATATAAACACAATCTAAGAATACTTAATAAGTTCTATAGTCTGAACATATAGTAGCAGAGAGTTTGTAAATAACATTCTTAGCACCTCATTAGATACTATTATAGTTTTAATTTGATAGCCTTCTCTCAAAATATGAAAATATATTCTGATTTCATAACCTTTGATTCTAATTTATAGAAAGATAGACTAAGAGGGGGAGAGAGGACAGACTATAGAGTCTTATAGAGAGATGGAGAGAGAGGACTGAGCAGGACAGAGATAGAGAGAGAGAGAGGACTTTTTTTTAGGGAGGGTGGTGGTGGTGGAAGAGAGATTATCCTTCGAAGTCCGAAGCCCTAGTTTCCACTTTTCGCTGCCAATTGTCGAACTGAATCATTTTTGAAGTTCGAAGCCCTACAATTTTCACTACCAATTGTCGAACCGAATCCCTTTTGAAGTGAAGCCCTAGTTTGCACTTCCCACTACCAATTGTTGAACCGAATTCGAGAGAATTGAACCGAATTCGAGAGAGAGAGAGAGAGAGAGAGAGAGAGAGAGAGAGAGAGAGAGGAGTACATCAAATTCGATGGAGATGGTTTTGGGTGAAGAGCTAGAGTTGAAGAGGGAGGAACATAGTTCTGAGAGGAGAGAGGATGAGAAAACCCTAATTGGGAGGGAGGGAGGGGATACATCAAATTCGATGGAAATGGCTTTGGGAGAAAAGTCGGAGTTGAAGAGGGAGGAACATAGTTCTTGAGAGGTGAGAGGAGAGAGGATGAGAAAAACCTAATTGGGTTCACATCAAATTCGATGGAGATGACTTTGGGAGAAGAGCCGGAGTTGAAGAGAGAGGAACATAGTTCTGAGAGGAGAGAGGATGAGAAAACTCTAATTGGGTTCTAGAGAGTAGGAGGTCGAATGTTGTATCTTTAGGTTTTGGGTACGGTCAGGTCGGGTTTGTTTGCATTTGAAACCCGTTACCCAATTGCAGCAAATGAAGAAAAACCACGTATCGGACACAATTTTAGACTCGATATTTATCGAGATATGACCAATTTTTCTTGCAATAGGCCCGATCCGAGCCTAAAAATGACAGATGCGATAAAATGAGCCAACGTGTGGTGGATTGGGTTTGAGCCCGCCATGGCCAACATGGCAGCCACCATTTGAAATCCTAGTCATAGTAGTGCAAACTCCTTTTCCCTATTCACTTCTGTTGGCACATAAAAATAAGTATAGTTTTTGGGTGTGGACTTATTTGTCAAAAAACTTTGTTATTTCAGCAATAAAGATTTCCGTCTGCTATTTCTGAAATTTAATTTCTATTGGAGTTAAATTGCTAAATTCCGTAAAAGTAACTTCTATATCAAGTCGTTAACTATGAAAAATTTCTTGGATATTACGGCATGATTTGTATGGGCGAAGCACGCTAAATGCATATAAACGCTTTGTCCATCTGCAGTTAACATAGCTTTCTGGTTTGTTCTACCCGTTTAGCTAGCAGCTTCAACCATAATTTTCTTATTATTACAGTCATTCATTTATTTACATAATTATTTTGGTATAGTGTTAATGATGGGAACATTATGGATCCAGAATTTTCTTATCCTTAACACACACCTAGAGGCGATAAATATGATATTGAGAGCAAGTAAAACGCAAGAAGTGTTGAAGATGAATTCTGGACCTCATCATCTCCCCCTAATTACGAAGTTCAACAGTATTTTCATATTTATAACATTTTTTACACCATCTTGTTTCTTAATGGTTCAATTATTACTTTCTGATTAGAATAATTGATGGGTAGTCTTGTGAAATTTACCAAAACAAATGGCTATGCATATGTTCAGTACGTCAAACTTCAGGCTCGATGTACCTTATCTTCTTTGAATTGATTTGATTTCTAAAAAAAAAGTGATTTGATTTTGAATTATTATTTTCTATTCCAAAAAAAGCCTCTTTTTTTTCTATTTTTCTTTATGCATTCTTCATTTTTTGTTCCCCATGATTCAGATAAATGAGCTACTATTTTTATTTTGCCCCTTAATTATTTGGGTTTATTTCTGCTGGCACCTAAATTATGAATATGAATTATGTTTCTATTTTCTCAGTGATGAATTACTTTATATTCAATGTGTCTGGTTTGGTTGTGGATGTAAAGTGACAGATGATGGGATCCAAATATGATTTTGTATTTTAGACAAATATAAATATGTATGTGGTTGTGTACGGATTCATGCTACTTAAAAGATATTTGAATATATATCCAAATGCATTATAGAATAAATATATGCTTCCTGTTCTTTTTGTTGGCTTGTATATCCAGGTCAAACTCAAGCCATGTTCAATAAAGTCCGGTTATTATTTTGATCTGTAACCAGATGCATCTTGTATCCCTTCGATTGCAACCATACTTGAGGACCAGGGTTGGAGATGATTGAATCAAATACTAAGGTAGTGCTTAGATACCATGGTGTTTTTAGTGTTCCCATGGTGTTTTTGCTACAAACAAAACATCATATGTTTGGAAATCATGATATTTTTGTTAGGTTACAATATCGAAAAAAAAAACACAATACTTATTTCAAAACACTAAAAAGGTGTTTCGAGTTTGGTATTTGTGTTTTGAATTTTAAGAGTGTTACTAATATATATTATATTAATAGTAAATGATAATAAATTAAATAATTAATAAAAATAATTATGTAAAAATATATTATATTTGTTAAGTAACATATTGGTGATATAATATAATATTAAATTAATTTATATTATTTAATATACTAGTATGTAATACGTGCGATGTACGTAATTCACATTAGTAGATTATAATGGTTGTAATATTTCAATGCCAAATAACATTGTGTACTCTGCAATCTCCGATTATTTTTCAAACAACTTGTTTTCTTGTATGTAAAAGAAATTGAAAAATGAATTTTATCTGAAAACGTTAAATCTAAATTACATTAGATTGTAATAAAAATAATATAAATAATTACTGAATTATATGGCATGCATATAGTAAACAATATGCTCTTTGTGCAAAATTTAAGATGACAAGTTACAAAAATAAATGTGATTAGCATACTTCGGCTTTAACAAGTTATACTCCTATTTTAAAGACCCATCAGTTAAAGGTTTCTTCCCCTCAGTATCAGTTGTTGAAGCCTTACATGGTTCATTTGATGTTTACATTTATTAATAACAGAAACACCATAACATCAATCACTACAACATAATGAAATTATAACCCTAGATTGCACAACAGAAAATGGAAGTTATTTCTATCAAAGACAACATCATGTGCATGCCCACAAGAACCTCTGAACTCTTAATGATGATTAAGAGTTACAAAGCTTAGCTTAAACTTTAAAGCTCAACCATCAATGTAGAACTTCGCTAAGTTTCTAGAAATCAATTGAACACATGATCCAAACATGTACGAATAAAACAATGATTTAGCTGCACAAAACAAGACTGTCGACCTTGTAAACGACAAGATCATTTATTGAGTTGCAATCGACCGGTTTTATTAAAAAATATTAAAAATGATTTTTTTTTTTCCATAAACGTGAGTTCTCCTTTTATTCTAATTACTTGAACTTCAAGAAGAAGTCGACTGCCCTTGTCAGGGTCCTGATACGGCGAACTCCTAGCAAAGATATAACACGTTCGGTCTATTTTTAGATTAACTCGCAAATGTTTGGAAATATCACTTATTTCCCAAACTTTCTTTTTAGAATAGTCTTAAAAAGTTGGAAGATATTTTAAAATATATTTAGAAAAATGTGAGTTTGGGTGTTAAAGTGAGATCTCCAAAGAAATATCACGCATAGTGTGAGACTGGCGAGGCTGGATCGTGCAACATGAGCTATGGTATATGACGGTGCTTGCAAAATTTTGTTTCATCGGAAATGGGCAATGATATATACAAAATGTCCTCATTGTGTTGCAAGATGAATATAATAGAGTATCACTTCACTGTCGAAGGGATATGAGAAGGAATTTATAAATGATTTTGACTATCACCAAGTCATTTGCTAAAGTCAGACTACCTAAAAAGATAGCGCATTAGATAGTATAGGTTGTTTGTTGAAATGGTTGTTCTCGGTTTGATCGAGGGGAAAAGAGCTTAGACATGCTTACCTTTTTTTTTTCTTTTCTATTTTATTCCTACTTTTTCTATTTTATCAGTAACTTAGCATTAATTTTATGTAAAAATTCAGCGGGGCAACCCATTTTCAAAAGAAATAGAAGTAACAACATTTTCTAGATTTTTCTTCAGCATTTTTATGTTGTTTTATCGTCCAGGCATATATATGCTCGGGTTTTCTGAGAGTTTTTTGGTGAGCATTTGCATGGTTGATTTTCTAAAACTCATCTTACGAGGCAAATTTCTTAATAGGTCAAGTTTGTACAAATAGTTTTACTGCAATTTTGTTATGAGTTGTTTTTAACTTTAAACATGTAACCTCTTGCTCGGTTAAACTGTTTTTGGTCCAATTCTGTTTCTTACAAGTAGAAGTTAGTGTTTATTTTATGTCTGATTATTACGTGTAAATGAGATGTAAATTGTTGTTATCTTTTGAAAATCTACAGTGGTATTTGTTCTGGTAGTGTTTAAGCACCATTACAACTAAATTTTGACAATGATACTCTACTCTAGTACCAAAACAAACTGTTGTAAGGGGTATGCATTTGATGAGTGATAGAAATTAGGTTGAATACTGAAAAATTTTCGCAATGGGCGCGCAACACAGCTTTTCAGTCACGTTGTTCAAACCTATGCAAATCATAGAACAAGAGGGGGGTGGGGGTGGTTGAAAATGATACATTACAACTAAATAAAATCAACTCTGAGATCACAAGACAAGGTAAACATACATAATTATCCAAAGTGATACTACGGAACATAAAGAGAGTGCAGAAAGCCCCAAGAATACCAAAGTTACAGTTCCTTTGATCTCAAACATCTCACAAGTATGTGTTCTGATTATTTTGGGAATTCAAACATATTGGCTAAGCAATTACATCCTCCCAATCAAAGCTCTGGAAAAGATAGACAGTATGTGTTCTGATTTTCTGTGGGGGCACAAATTTCACTTAGTAAATTGGGGGTCTGTCTGTCAAGGAAAAGAATATGGAGGCCTGGGTATATTCTCTGCTAAATTCTGGAACTATGCAACTGCCACTAAGCTCCTGTGGATGATCCATCTTAAAAAGGATCTCCTATGGATCAAGTGGGTTCATGGAAACTATCTACATAACCAAGGTATATGGACTGTGCAACCTAAGACTAATGACTCTTGGATGTGGAGGCAACTCCTTAAAGTGAGAGATTTGCTTTTGAGTAAGTTTGGAAGTGCTGTTACTATGATGAATGTTATAGCAGATTGTTGCTCTGAAGGAAATCTTCGTTTATCTGCAGTATACAGAGCTTTTTTGCAACCTGCTAGTACAGCTACTTGGGCTAAAACAGTTTGGGATGACTTCCTATACCCTAAACACTCCTTTGTGTTTTGGTTAGCATGTCATTCTAGGCTACTTACCAAAGATAGATTGTGCCGTATGAACATCTTGAGCACCAATCAAATTCACTGTGTTCTGTGTGACAGTCACCAAATAGAAACAAGGGATCATATCTTCTTTGAGTGTAAATACTCAGCTGAAGTGTGGAACTTGGTGATGAGCTGGTTGGGGTATAAATGGAGATCCTGTTCATGGAGCATGCTACTGAACTGGTACTCTTTCAATTTGAAAGGTAAAAATCCTATGAAGAAGTTGAAACGGATGGTATTATCTGCTGCTGTATATATGATATGGAGGGAGAGAAATTTAAGAACTTTTCAGGACAAGAGGAGGATGCCTGCTCAAGTCTTTAGGGATATTAAACTTTCAGTTTTCTATAAAGTCCTAAATGATAGTTCATATGTGCATATGAAAGAACTACTTGGAAATTTGTAATTTTCTTTTGGTTTCCAGGTTTTTCTGGTTCTTTGTAATACCTTACATGTTCATTTTGGGAGATGAATAAAATTTACAGTTCATTGAACAAAAAAAAAAACCATCTCACAAGTAGACAAACTCATTTGAGTACAGAGAATACCCTTTACATTTACAGCTCAGGGAGATGTAAAACCCGTTCAAATTCATACAAGAAATGGCCGTGATGCCCAATGTCAGAACTCTCAAGTCTCAACTCATTTGATATCAGAACCGAAATAATTAGAATATCCTGGCAACTGCTTGTTCTCTCTTATAAGCTCAAGCAAAATCTTCACTCGTCCGTCGTTGGCATGCGTGGCCAAATTCCGGCCAAAGCTCTGCCATAGATTGTGTGACGAATGCTTGAAACAGCACAAGGGACTGCAGTCAAAGGGTTCCCAAAATGCTGAGTCGCAAGCACTAACCCTAGCATCGAATTCTGCCAATATATTAAAACACAAAAAAATAGCTAAATGGGTATAACCGATGAATAGGGTTTTGTCATATTAGAACCCCAACTTTTTGTTATTTCTACAGTAGACCCCTAAATTTTAATACTTCTAAATTAGACTCCCCCACCTCACCCCACCACACGAAAAAAAAAGAAAAAAAAGAAGAAGAACCATTAAGTTGTTTTAAATAGGACGCCCAAATCTATTAAATTGTTTTGAATAAAACCTTACAAACAAATATGAAGATTTGGGGTCTAACTTCTAAAAATTTTAATTGTTTCAAGAGCTTTACAAAAGCCCTATTGAGAAGCAAAGCGATCACTTTATCAAAGTGTTATGAATAGATGATGGAGGTGAATATACTTCTAATGAGTTCAATAAGCATTGTGCAAAATAAGAAATAAAGCGTGATGTCACTTTTTCCTACACAACTCAACATAATGGCATTGTTGAAAGAGAAAAGAAGACCATACTTGACATGGCGAGAAGCATGCTAAGAGCCAAAGATATGTCGAATTCTTTCCAGGGTGAAGCTATCTCATGCACCATTTATTTATTGAAGAAATCACCGGTAAAGAGCATAGATAATCTCATTCCTGAAAAGGCTTGGACTGGTTATAAGCTAAGTGTAGAGCTGCTCAAAGTGTTCTACTCCATTGCTTATGCTTATGTTTGGCAGAAAGAAGGAAAAAAACTTGATGACAGAGGTGAGAAGACAGTTTTTATTGGCTACAAGGCCGCATAGGCTATAATCTCTACAACCATATTACAAAAAATGATCGTGAGTAGAGATGTTGTGTTCACTGAAAAACAAGCTTGGAATTGGGATCTAGAAGCACAATAATTCATGGCGTACTCTTCTTGATATTCGTAAAATGGTGTCCCAATTACAACTAAAGAAGCACCACCAGCTATTGCTCCAGAAGCTCTAGCGCCACAAGTTATAATAAAAGTTAAAAGACCAAGAAAAAATCGCCAACCATCAGTTCTCTTGAGGGATTATGAAGTTACCCCATATGATGATGTTAATGTAGATGGAGATATAGTTGTTGGACCCTAGAGGGGGGTGATTAGGGTCTTAAGGCTATAATTGTGCAATAAAAATAAGACAAACAACACACCACAATAATGAACAACTAAGATAAATGAGATAGAGTTAAAATCGTTATCCAAATAACGTGCGATGTGTTAACGAGGTTCGATCCGCTGACCTACGTCCCCGCTTCCCACTCTCGAGGAGAATCCACTACACAACCCGGTTTGGAAGCCAGAACTTCTTCTACACAACGATCTCCACAAGATCAAGCTCACAATAGTAGTAATGGTGTAAAAAACTCTCTCTTTACAATGTCCCTATGGCAAAGAGAAAGATTACATTGAAGCTGGGATGTGAACTTGAAAACAGAGAGAAAACAGATTTAAAAGTTTAGGGCTCTTTTAAAAACAGTAAAACAAGATTGCATGATTTTTCAAATGGACAAGAGCACTTGAGAGAAGAGGGGTATGAGAGTTTAAATAGGAAAAAAATCAGCTGCTAAAACCCATACCCAGATCCCCTTAAACCCGTAAGAAATGATTTCGCAAATCTGTACTAAAAACGTCTGTTGGAGTAAGTGGCGGTCGACCGGGAAAATTTTCGAAACTCAAAAATTTCCAGAGACTTTTGCGGTCGACCGTGGTGGTCGACCGTGGGAATTTTCGAGCCGACGGTCGATCGTGACGGTCGATCATGAAAGTTTCTGCTGTCCACTCAGAAAAAGAACACAGGCGTGGTCGATCGTGGTGGTCGACCGCGAACTGATACATGCTGACACTATTTTTAAAAACTATTTTTGACTCTTTAAAAATCTGTAAAAATATTTAAATGACATTCCAAAAATTGTGTAACTTTGTAAATTGTTTTTAACACTAAAAACAAATTGTTTAGAAAGATAATTTTGCGAATAGGTCCTCATACTTGTGAAAAATGATATTTTGTCAAAATGCTCAAAAAATATAAGTATGAAAACATGTGTGTGATATCCCAATAGCTTGAAATAAAATCTATAACTACTTGCCTACATTCTAGCACTAGAGAGAAAAGAAAAACTAGCTAATATCCTCACATAGAATTACAATTCTTTGAGTCTTGATATAGCTTGAGTTGATGAAGCTTCTCATTGTATTTATTATCCTTAAATAAGCATTGCTTCATCACTATGCATCCTCCTCCTTTGGATATCATCGTTGTAGCTCATATTCTATCAAATCCTCCATAAGTGGTACTAACAAGCTTGATATATTTATTAGCTATAATATCACTCAACAAGTAATTAGTACTGATAACGGTGGTTGTAAAACATCATCAAAACATAAGGGCTAACAATCTCCCCCTTTTTGATAATGACAACCAACCATTATATAGGAGCAAAATAAATATAGCTTATAGATAGTAGCTCCCCCTATCTATGAGCTCCCCCTAACTATGTGCAACAAATAAGGAGATTTCTCTCCCCCTTTGTCACCATCAAAATGGGGAAAAGGAAATGGTAATAAAAAAATGCATATGAAATGCAACTAACCAAGTAAGCAAATAGAACTTTCACATAGTGCATAAACCCAAACCATTTCTTATGCGACAAAAATCATCTTCACTAAGAGGCTTGGTAAAGATGTCCGCTAATTGAGATTTTGTGTCAATATACACAAGGGATACATCTTGTCTCTCTACATGATCGCGTAAGAAATGATGGCGCACATCAATATGCTTGGTTCTAGAGAATGCAAAACCGAAATTTTTGAAATATTGATAGCATTAGTGTTATCACAAAAGATTTTTATATTTTAAAAATTCAAATCATAGTCAACTAAACTTTGTTTCATCCATAAAACTTGGGCACAACATAAGCCGACGGTAACGTATTTCACTTCCGTAGTGGACAAGGCAATACAATTTTATTTCTTGGAAGCCCAAGAGACAAGAGAGTTACCCAAGAATTGACATGTACCACTTGTACTCTTACGATCTACCTTACATCTGGCAAAGTCGGCATCACAAAAACCATAAAAATCAAAAGAGGTGCTTTTGGATAAAATTAACCAAGATCAATTGTTCCATTAATATATTTAATAATTCTTTTAACCGCAATCAAATGAGATGCTTTAGGAGAAGCTTGAAAACGTGCACATGCACACACACTAAACATGATATCGGGTCTACTAGCGGTGAGATAAATAAGACTACCTATCATACATCGGTATAGTTTTTGGTCCACATCCTCACCACTATCATCCGCATCAAGCTTGACACTTGTACTCATGGGAGTTGGTGCATGCTTAGAATTCTCCAAATTGAATTTCTTCACCAATTCTCTAGCATACTTGTTTTGATAAATGAATATCCCATCCTTAGTTTGCTTGACTTGGAGCCCAAAAAAGAATGTGAGCTCTCCCATCATGCTCATCTCAAAATGATCTTGCATAACTTTAGAAAAATCCTTGCAAAGAGATTCATTAGAAGCACCAAAAATGATATCATCAACATATATTTAAACTAAAATGAAATTATTTTTTCTTTTTCTCACAATAAGAGTATTATCAATTTTTCCTTTAGAAAAACTATTTTCAAGATGAAAACTAGATAGGCGAGCATACCAAGCTCTAGAAACTTGTTTTAACCCATATAAAGCTTTTTAAATCCGGTAAACATGATTAGGAAATGCATGATCCATAAAACCGGGGGGTTACTCAACATATACTTCCTCTTCTATAAAACCATTTAGAAATGCACTTTTAACATCCATTTGAAATAATTTGAAATCTTTAAAGCTTATAAATGCCAAAAACATCCTAATTGATTCTAACCTTGTAACCGATGCAAAGGTTTCATCATAATCTATACCTTCATCTTGATTGTATTCTTAGGCAACCAAACGAGCTTTATTTCTTGTTACAATGCCATGTTCATCAAATTTATTTTTAAAAACCCATTTTGTTCTAATTACACTAGCATTGTTAGGTCTAGGAACTAGTTTCCAAACATTATTTCTTCGAAAATTGTTTAGTTCATCATGCATAGCTGATAATCATATTTTATTATAATTTTATACCCTCATTATCTATTTTATATGAATAAATATGCCACTAATAATTATTTTTATCTTTAATTGCAGGTTAATCAAAAATAAAAAGCCCAATATCTATTCTCTCAACAAAGCTCATGAATTAATGAAGAATATATGTGAATACATGAAAGAGCCCAAGCCCAGGTCCAAAAGCCCAAAGCCAAAGCCAAATGAAAGAGGAAATTAGCGGATTGCAAAAGGAGGCATATGGGTATCGATGCCAGCATCATACCCGTATCGATTCCAGCATCGATGCTGGTATCGATACATACGTCGTTCTATTACAGATCAATGGCTAAAATTTGCTTGTTTTGGATAAGATTTCAATCCAATGGCTCTCATTCACTGATGTTTACTATAAATAGGAGTAGAGAGTGAGGGGTTGAGGGTGTGAAAATTTTTATAATTCCATTTGGAAAGGAGG